CTGGCTATGTGCGTCCCATCTTCTTTTGCTTATTAGGAAATGTTGTGGCATCGTTTCATTTTAAGCTGTTGAATTTGACTAGCCCAATTGCTGATAAAAGAAGAGCAGAAATTCACAGTAATTATCAGTTGTGCTTTTCAAACATGTTTCATCTTTCAAACTCTATTCCAAAGATGGCATCTGGCTCCCTCTAGTGGGGAAAGAGCAGAGTTCAGAACAGATTGAAATCCTGCCTTTTTCACATGCAATGCAGGTAATTCCCGTGTTCCCCTTCTCGAACATTTGAAGTTAGACAGTAAGCGCCCCCAATAAGTGTTTATGAAGCCCTGAAACTATGAGTCTTCCAGCACTACGGCAGTTGTTTGTCCTTATGAACAACCGCAGAGGCCCTGCAACGTTTGTCCTGAATATTGGCAGTCGAAATGGAACTTCTGAGGGGTGGATCCATCCCTCTGACCCTCCATCCGGGACAATTTGGCAGAAGACTGACGGCATATCATTTGTGCTCAATGTAAGTATTTATTCTAGAATTGTGGCTTAGAAACCATACAGCTCTCAGATTATTTCCCACAAATTTCATACATTGAAGTGAAATTAAAATACAAATTTTATTATATGTAATGTATAAAGCACATGCTTTAAATAGAAGTAAATTGTCAAAATCATGTGTCTTAAATCCTTCAATATTTCTGTGCTAATAAATAGCAGTAGTACAATCCTTGAAAAATAGATATGAAAGGGAGGCGATATTTTGCATATAACTGAAATGCCCCAGGCACTAGTCCAGTTATCACCTAATCCACTCTTCCCCCCCCCCCCAATTTTGGCCACTTGAAAAGGTGTGTGGACTGTAACTCCCAATATACCCAAACCAGAAGTAGATGTTATGTTTGCATGGTTTCTGAAGAGAAAGAAAGGCAGTGGCTTCTTCCCCCTCTTACGCAACCAGCCGGTCGCACGGGGCCCGCGCGCACACACTGCCCAGCGAAGGGGCTTTTCCTAGCGGTGCGGAGCACAGCAGAGGAGAGGTGAGGAACAAACGAAGCTCTGTAAGTAATCCTTTGTTGCTGAAGTAAACGCTGCCAAGAAATCCTTGTAAGAAAAGCTCCTAAGTCTAC